GTGACGAGGGTGTCAGGAACGACATTTTTATGTTGCTTTTTATCACTTATTTAATACAATACTAAACAAAGTTTCTTAAATTTCATGCATACGAGAAGTATTATCCATATAATATGTGGGAGAACAAACACACCTGACACCTGTTAAAGTGTGCAAGTACCTACACGAAACAGCCAACAGTAATATAGGTGAAGGCAGGCCCTATTTTTATGTGCACCACGACACACAATGTGCACTACGAATATACAAGTGTGCACTACGATTTGAACGTGTGCACTACGGTCTACAAAACAAAAATTGCCAAGTCAGGGATCGGCATGTAAACTTTCTTGATTTTGAATTTTTAGAAATTTTTTAACTGATTTAATCACACCCAAGCGGTCAAACAATATGAATCCAGAAAAATGTCGGCGTGAACAGCCCCACAAAAAATCATTTTAATTTTCATTTAGTGAGATAGATCTCCGAAACCGGACAGCGGATTTCGTTGATTTTGGTGTTGTTAGATTCACATTGGTTAGGAGAAGTGCAGTGAAGATTTGCAGAACTTTATCTTTAATAGTTAATTCACTACAGAACATTAAAATAAATTAAAACAAATTTTATTGGGCGTTTTTTTATGTTTTTCATCTTTACAGCTTTGTAATGAATTAACGATTTTAGATAAAGTTCTGAAAATCTTCACTGCAATTCTCCTAGCAAATGTGAATTTAACAAGACCCCAAACAACAAAATCCGTTCTCCAGTTTCGGAGATCTACATCTCTAAATGAAAATCTAGAGAAAATAACTCTTTTTTTTTTTATCTGTGAAAAATTAAATAATTAAAAAAAAAAAATTAATTCCATATTTAGTGTCTACCTGATAATCCCTTTTTAATGAGTTATCAACCAAATTTCTAGCTAGGTATCATAGTTTAGGATAAAAGTTAAAAAATAGAAATGTTGGGACTGTTCACGCGAATGTTTTTATCGATTCAAATTGGGTATACCGCTTGGGTGTGATATAAAATCTCTCTTATTAATATTTTATATTAAAGCTAGCTAAATTACCCACCTATTCATCATTACTGAGTTACATTTTTATTATTTTCCTATTTAACACAAATTCTTGAAGTTTTCAAAGTTCAGACTTTTTTCATTTCAATTACTATACTTACTTGATGAAAAATCAAGAAAGTAATATGCATTGTTATGATTTTAATTATTAAAAAGTTAAGTTAAGGTTTTTATTATTATATTATGCTATTTAATTTTTATGATTTTTATTAAAAGATAAGTATTTTGTTGTTTTATTGAATTGCCATGTTAAATTATTGTATACATCATGTAATATGTATTATGTAATACATTCCTTTTGCTAAGATGGTAGCGAGAATAAAATGAAACGTGCAGTCCGAAATTTTACAAATAATAGGGCCTGGGTGAAGGTGTAGCTTATACTTGATATTATTGTATTGTTACAATATTATATTATTATGACATATACGTGATACGTCATAATATTTTGTACACAATTAATTCGATTATCTTCATAATTTAATGACAATTAATGTTTTTTAATATTTAATACTAAAACTAAATTCTTTAGTTGGTCCGATAGTATTTTATTATGTGGTGAGCGATGTTAAAATAAAATAATAATATTGTGTGTTTCTAATAAATTATAATGTTTAATGTACAAGTCCTTACTCAGCCGAATCACACATTCATATTATAATATATAGTATATAGTTTTGGCTGTTTTGAGCATTTTAAAATATACAAACAAATAACAATTTATAATTTTAAAATGTTCATAACTCACTTTAAAATTAAAATATATAAAAACCAATATGAGATTCACTAGATTATTATCTATAACCTAGGGGTTCTTAGTTCTTACGTCTAAATTTGATGATAGGTTAATTCACTTTAATGTTTAAACATAATAGATTTAAATGGATTATTCAGAAAGTACAATTTTCTATGATATGCGTTTGTAAAACGAAGACAACACTCATGCGGGTTTAGCGTCGTGAAAATGAAAAATGAAAATGAAACTTAGCTAGTTTAAGGGCACTATTGTCTATGAGAGGAAATATTAACAATTCAGCACAAGTACAAAAAACTTGTGTACAAGTTCATACAATTTGAATTCCATGAATAGATTAAAAATAATCAAAATATTTTGAAAATTATAACATTATATTAATAAAAACTTTTGGTGAACAATAAATTCAAGTATCTACAGTTATTTGTATTTAAATAACCATAAAATAACGCTTAATAGCTATTTTATTTTTTCCATAATAATATAGGTATTTAGGAAAAGCTATTCACTTCTAATTTCTTGAAGTTAAGCCCTGATGTACTATAATATGTACCCTGTAGAAATTTAGAAAAAATATTGTTACAAATACATAATAATTTGATAGTGAAGCTTACACATTGTTAATTTTATATTTTGATGATTACCGTCAATCTGGGTAACTCGAATATTAAAATAATAACTTTCTCTTATTCTGAGCTGAAAAAATCGCAGATATTGCAAAAGAATAATTTGTTGTCACATAAGACGCCCTACAGGCTACAACCAAATATTTTGAAATAAATTGTGAGCCCAAAAATTGATTGGTAAAAAAATAAAAACTGTTGTGGATTACAAAAAGTGGATATATCATTTGTGATTTAAGGTATCGCAATATTATCATTTATCAGTAACATCTACTTATATTATGTATAAAAAACTAAAACTATAAATCTTAATTTCGTTCTCTTATGACTTCAAGTGGTGTACATTGATACAAAAAGTATGGATTTAATATTATAATAAAATATATACTAATTTTATATTGGTATTTATCACTTGAATATTTACTGACATTTAGTAAAAATCGGTATCTATTATTATTGAATTACAACTAGTATGACCTTTACGCAGAATTCTTTTAAATTAGTTATTTTGAAGATTTACCATATACAGAGACCGAGAGAAAAAGTGGTATAATAAATAATTTTTTATTTAATGTTTACGATAATCAACTATTCAACTAGCAAAATAAATACAAAAGTTTTAAATTTACGGTACGATATAAAAAGAATTCAATTTATAAAAAGTTTATAAATTGATAGAAACATCGTATTCACAATTTTGTACTTCATTTATTTATTATTTATCGATTTAGTTTTTAATGAGTATAACGTAGCTCGGGGGCCTAACGAATCTGGTAACTTTTACACCGCAAACAAATTTCAACGTTGTGGCTGTTGACAGAGCTTATATTAAACTTTAAACGCCAATGAAAACTTTATAATGTCGGATAATATAAAATATTTTGTCTTCAAGTATTTGCATTTTATGTAAAACCCAAGACAAAATAAATTTAATAAAATATTAAATAAGTACAATATGATGAAGGAATTGCATAAAAAAATCGTCGTCTTAGCGAATCAATACAGTATTATAATTTACGACTTTTTTTTAATTTTATTCATAAATGTGTTTGTTATTTTACATTTACGTTTTTTATTATGATAAGGATAACCGCATACCTAATATAATATAAATAGTATATAGTACAATTTTTTTTATTAACTCAAAAGCGAATAACCGTAGATACATGGAATTTTCACTAATGTTTATGTTAGCATTTTTGATAAAAAATTAAATCGTTCTACCGGTTACAAAAATACCGGAATTATACATGGTACATATATATATATATATAGTCTATAGATTAATTTCCCACTAGCATGTTGACGCGTTTATTCAATAATAATAATAATAATTATATCAAATAAAAACTAAATAGGTAACATACCAATTACTAAACGTTTATTTGTGTAAATCATAATTGGATTTACGGTATAAATGTGTAACAAACTTAGAGGGCCACAGTTTGGGAAACGCTGTTCTAGGTATAACTATATTTTCAACTAGCGTTTGGACGGCTGCAACCCGCCGATTCGGTGATTAACGATTGAGCAGGGTTCATTTTTTTTTTGGATTCTTATACCTATATATAATATATATATCAAACATTCAAGCATAACAAAATAAGGGTACACATACACACCAACACTTCATGAAGAGAGAAGACCCCCCAATTTGCAACAGTTTCGGTACGTCTCTCACCGTCAAACACATTCTCACAGAATGCCGGAGCTTTGACAAGGACAGAAGAGAAGCTGAAATGCCTGACCAGCTCTCCGAGTCATTGAACCCAGACCCACGCAACGTCCAAGGAATCTTAAAATTTATCTATAATTTAAAATTAATTAATACAATTTAAAAATGTATTTATACCTAACATTTGATTGTATAATGTATAAGAAATGTATAGCAGTATGAATTATATTATAATGTAAAATAATATCAGTCCAATGGCCACAGCTGCCGCGGACTTTGTTTAATAAAAAAAAATAAGCTTCGGACGAATCGCTTTGTTCGTTTCCACATTGAGAGGACCCCCGTCTGTCCCATCACCCTGGCGGATTACAGGCTCCTGCAACGAACTCGCGTGCACTGCTGTCCGTGCTTGAGGTTTAGTTCGGCTGTTTTTAAACTCGACTTACTCGATGTCGGCCGAAGAAAACCGCATTGGGATGTTATGGGGATCGGACTCATAGGCGTGGGCCCTGGCCCTCCCTGCTAGCTGCAACATACTTATTATTTAGATGGAAATTTAGATCATACACATAGTTGTATTGCCTTATATTCTGTGGTATAAGCATTCTGGTTTTGGATTTTTTTATATCAACAAAATTAACAAGATTCTCTTAAATCTATAAAATATGGTTCTATTTAATCAAGGGTAAGGCAAATCGTAAATTGTAAATCATAACCTATCAATTTGGATTTAAGGAAAATAATATGCAAAAGCATTTAAATCCTACCCCTACTTTTGAATAAAAATATATATATTATTATAACTTAAAATTTAAACAGCAGGTGATGACCGGTGAGTAAATTAATGTAATTTTATAAATAACAGTGTTTAAAATAATTTTTATTCAAGTATCATTGGCCCACTTTGCCACAACGGGCTGCGCATGATATTCTTACTATAGAACGGCGTCCTGGAGGATCCACTTGACTGCTGTACGTCCGAAGAGGCCTGCCGAACATGTGCAGAGTCGACGAGACGGGTGGCCTCTCAATCTTGATTTCGGTGGCTACGGCCGTCATCATTGCCGTGTCAATCAACGAAATATAGTAACGGAACTTTGGACAGGCACAATATTTGCACCAACCATTTCGGGGCGTAGGACGTTTGCGCATCGCTATTGTTATGAATGACCTTTTTTGTAGGCTGTCGTTGTCGACTTTCGGTCGGGCCACTTAACGGCTCGTAGTCGCCAGATCCGTGTGATCACCGCGACTTGCCAACACAATTTTGCACAATTTTTGGTCATAAATTCTTAGCTCGTCGCAATCTCGAAAACAATTTTGTGTCTCTCACCGCCGTTTGGGGCAGTAAAACGGCTTCGATTTTCTTCAATAGTATCTTGTCCGATGGGAAAGTGAATGTAGTTGATATGGTTGATGTATTCGAGAAGTCAAAATTTAAAATTCATAATTGTTTTCAAAAGCTCCGGGAAAAACAAATTAAAAATTAAGTAAAAACCCGAAAAACGGGAGCGTGTAAAGGGCATGCAGGTATAAGGAGTGATCCATATTACCTAAGGCGTCACTCATTAGTCATTATTTCAGAAAACAATAATATTTTTGCAAATATCTCTTTAGGTAATTTTAATTCGTTTCAAAACAACATTTTTGGATTTTCTTTATATTTTTTATCTTTATAAGTTTTTAAGTTGTCTACTCTTTTAAAAATGCTTGTTGTAATTTATTTAATTTCATATTCTCTAAAGTAATATTATTGAATTATTCTGAGTATTCGATCTATAAAAATTCAATTTTGGACAAGTAGCTTTTTAGGTACCTATAAAGTTCCTAGAACTTATAAATATTTTAATTTTTTAAAAATGTTGTTTTCAATAACTTAAAATTCTGTAAAAAAAACATTTAAAGTTTATTAAATAATTAGTGTTTATCACTGTAGAATGGATGGTATTAAATTTGAATTCAATGATATAATATCATTGTATAAGAAAAACGATTCTCAGCGGAGATGGTATGTCAGTCTATTTATAAGACATATTATATACTTATCTATGGTATTAAAATAAAAAATTGACCTATAATAGGTACCTATACTAAATTCCAAATTAATCATATCACCATATCTATTAGGTACATACCTATAACGCATTATACATCAATAATAAACCACGATACTATCATAGATATTAGATAGGTATATAATAGTATACTTTAGAAGTTTCAAGTATCCACGAATAATATTATACAGTCATAACAAAATAACTAAAATAGTTATTCTAGGTTTTTTAATATGTAATTTCGTCCAAATTTGAACTTCAAATGACTTTAAAAATAAACTGTGTCTATGTATTTTTTTAGATTTTTTGGTAACAGAATTAACTACTTACGTGGAATCTTGTTTTAAATTTTCATACCTTAGATGTAAAAGTTGAACATTTTATACTTTTTTAACTGCAAAATAATTATTCAATTTTAAATTTGATAAATTTTGTGAAAATTCGATCTTTAAATGCTTATAAAAAAAATTGTGCCTATATATTTTTAATATTTTTCAACTGTTATTGTAACAATATATCAGGAGCCTTGTATTAAATTTGTACACTTTTTGGCCCGACAGATAAAACTTTATTGATATTTATAGAAAAAAAAATAAAAGAATTGAAAACTCAAAACTCAAAATGTCCCTAAACAGTTCAAAACAAATCAAAATATTTTAAAAATGTTATCATATATATAAAATGAAAATATAAAAAACCAGTAAGAATGTAATGTATCTACGGTCATTTGTTTTAAAGTTACACCAAAAACCAAAGTCGATTTTGTGAAAAATTGATTTTGCGTAAAAATTCCCGTTTTTCCTTAATTTTTCTTTTGTTTTTCAAGGCGCTTTTGAAAATTAGTGTTAATTTTAAATTTTGACCTCCTCAATGCATCAACAATATTCACTTTCCCATCAATCAAGATTCAAGATACTGAAGTTGAAAATCGAAGCATTTTTTCGATTACTTATCGTGTACACAGACACACAAAAAGAAAACACACATCATTGTAAAATCAATACATTCATCGTATGAGTATGCTTAAAAAAATCACTCTGTATTTTAAACACTAACATTTTTGAAAATATTAATTTTACATAATATCCATACCGGTAATTTTAAGACATTTTAGGGAAAAAAATTATAAATTGTATCATTAGCCTTTTTAAGCTTTTCCCTCTTAAATCAAAAATGTATTTTAAATTCCAAATTTTAAAACTAAGATAGATAGTTTACGGCATCGGTAAGTTATATTTTTATATAAAAAAAAATCGAAAATGTTTGTTTTAACTATGTAATATATATTTTATGTATTATATTATAATATATATTTTAAAGGAAGGAAAATCGTGTTTTAAGCGCCACGGTCGTTTATGTTACATAGATTTTAAAGAAGAATGAAGGTAGGTAATGCGATCTTTCAAACTGTGCTTGAAAGTCTAGTAGCGTAGTATTCATGTAGATAGCGATGTGTTGCTGACCATTTCCATACAAAAAAACAATACTAGATACAAGAGGAAAATCACATTTTGAATAGGTACCTGATGAGCTACCTATAATATAATATAGTTATTTTAGAGACGGAAAGTCGGTATTGAATCAAAAGTTCGTTTGGGTAATAACAATATTATATCATGATACAAATATATAGGTACAAAGTACTTAGGTACTATTTAATAATTACATATTAATAATTTAATAAATGCTGTGTTCGGCAAACATATTTTATAAAACATTTATCTTTATTATTTACTATTATAGTACTACTATTATAGAAAAATAATTTGCTACCTACAGGTATACAGGCAGTAGAAAATGTCCACTTGCAAATAGCAATATATAAAATCTAAATACATATTATGATAAAACACAGTACATAAAACTAAAAATTATATTCTTAAAAATAATACTTAATTGTATTAACCGTCTTCGCTCATATTTCATAATCGTTTTTCATTTACCTACAATTATATAGATACAAAAATATATATCGTGTACTTAATTTATTGTTATTTAAAAAAACACGATATAAATATAAAATGAACAAATTCTATAGAAGTAGGTAATGGCTACTTAGGTATATTTTAATTTTTAGGTATGAATGTCGGTTGAAAATTGAAGTATGATGTAACTTACCAATTACTTTAGTGTCGTGTTCACTCCCCTTAGTATAATATTAATTTTGTATTTAATCTGCGCTTACTGTTATTCTTTTTTCTGGATTGGCGCCATTTCTCTAACGTTCATGGTTGGAACAAATATATTGTGGAACAAAAGGTGGCAACCACTACTTTTTGTTCCACTATTGTTATCACACTTTTTGAGGCCTTTCCACCTTGGGCCTTTGGTTCCAAAAAATATTTGTATGTCGTGCACGACGTCAAAAACGTAACCGAACAAACCGTCTCTTCGATTCTGCTGTCTGCAATCAGTCAGATAATAAATGCTCTATTGCTGTCCGCACTTCTGCAAAATTGGCCTCAAAAATCATAGATAAAATTTTTTTGTATTAACCATTTCATTAATGATATTTTGTTAAATGCCGAATTTCGTTTGAGAATTTAATTTTTCAACTGTACTATTATTTTGGTGTACATCTATTAGATAATTCGATTCGTCTCAGAACCTATAAAAGTAAAGTATATCAAATTTGTATTTATTTATTTCCATTTTGTTACCTGCAATCTGGATGGTACCCATTTTAATATAGGTACTAATTATTTGTTTTGTTTAATGCTGTCTTAGGTTAGTCGGTGGAAATGTCAAATAGTGAGAGTCATGCTGATTCTGACAACGAAGAGTTTGACTGTGATAGTCGTAGGATACCACTGGAACATTTACCTATGTTCCAGCGTTTGGCATCAGTTAATGGCAAAATAAATCGCATGAAAAAACGTCAACTGTTAGATACAATGAGAAATAAAATGCTCAATACTGATGGTGAAATAGATGTTTTGAAAAAACGTTTAAAAAACCACTATAGAATGCAAGCATTGATCAAAGCCAAAATCTGTGAATCCGAGGCAACTTATTTTCCGTATTTTGTTGTCATTGATATTGAAGCAACATGTACAGAAAGTAATCCTGCTGATTACAAGTACGTTTATACCTGATAAATTATTTCTATTTTGCAAAAATATATTTGTCAATAGAAAACAGTAATTTAATTATGGGAACAAATCTAGTTTAGCCCCCTCAAAACAAATTTTTTTTGGAAACCTATTTATTACAACAATTAGAACAATATTGCAAAAATTAATTGCAGGGAATCATTAGTTTTTAAATTAAAGCCTTACAAAGTTCATAATTTTCAGTGTTGTACGCATTTGTGCAACACAATATTTTACTGCGCGTTTGAAATTTTTCTGTTTTTGAACATCCTTTTTTTTAAATTTTATTTGTTTTAATCTACCTATGTAGTTAAACATGCTGAAAACAATGGGGAAGTCTGAATTTGGCAGTCAGACATATTTTAAAGTTATAGCTACCTAATTGAAATTTATGGTACTTTCATATACACACATCGTGGTCACTCGCTCGCTGCACTTGCTCGGATAATTAAAATCAAAAACATCCCTCAACTTGTTATGTTAAACCACCATGGGTGGGTGTCAGAATTATTTTTGCACCATAGTTTTTAAAACTTTGATTTACCTAGTTTCAAAAAAAAAAATTAATTTGCTATAAGCGTGGTATATGATAACCGTTGCAAATGTGTATAAATCACAGAAAATCGTGAACTTTGTAAGGCTAAACCTTAAAAACAAATAATTTCCGGCAATTCATTTTTGCACTATAGTTTCTAACTGGTTGTAATATATAGGTTTCTGAAAAAAAATTCAAAAACTCTTGTGGGTGATAAACTCTATTTATACCTCATTATGTAACTAGATAAAAATAATATTAAATTAAATTAAATTACTTTTTGTAAATAAAAATAATATGTTATTCCTCAAGATTGCTCTAACCTCTCTCAACAATTTGATTATTTGGTAAATCCTGAGTTACATAGGTTCATTTTCATAATTTTATAAAATTAAATAAGTATATACTATATTTATTATGACTATAATTTGGATCTATTCTTAATTTCTTTTCATTTCAATATTCCATGAAGAAGTTATAAAATTGTCTTGTGACTGCTTTTTAATTTGTTATATCTCACTCACAGATATATCTCACTATAAATTAATAAGTACTTTATTAAGAGGACGTGATACCCGCATGTGTTGGTTCCGTCTTACAAATGCGTAACATAGCAAATTCTACACAAAGCAGAACACGTGTAGCTCCGTTAGTTTAAAAATTAGAGTGAATTGACTCTTATAAAATCTAAATCTAAGATTATTATCTAAAGAACCTCGTGGACTTTTTATTATATTTTAAGTTTTGAGTGAGCTATGAGTATTTTAAAATTGTAAATTATTTATTTTTTATTTTATTAAAAATAAAAATACTTTAAAAAGCCCATGAGGTTATCTAGATAATAATCTTACCTTTAGATTTCATAAAAGGTTAATGTACTCTAATTTTTAAATTAACGGAGCTACACGTGTTTTGCTGAGCGTAAAATTTAGTGTGTTATGCACTTGTAAGACGGAGACAACACATGCTGGTATCACGTCCTCTTAAATAGGCACCTAGAACCTTAGTAGTACTAGTTAATAATATATTAAAATTATTTAGGTAAATAAATATAACTTAAATATTATATTCATATTTTAATGTCTGATTAAATAACTTAGTTAACTCTTTTATTAATATTTTTTGTATGCATTTTACATGTATTATCTAATTAATATTTTAGGTTTGAAATCATAGAATTTCCAGCTGTATTGGTCGATGCTAAAAAACGGAAAATAATAGATCATTTTCAAGCATTTGTAAAACCATCAATCAATCCAAAGTTATCCGATTTTTGCATTAAATTAACTGGCATAACTCAAGTAAGTTAATTTTAAAACTGTTAATAACTAATTCTTAGTACAAACCTGGTTAAAAAAAAGGGTAATCTATTTATACAAAATAGCATAAACTTAATGTAGTTTAGTATTCATGCTCATTTTTAATTTGTATTTTGCTCACAATTAGTGCATTCGAAAGTGTTTAAAAAATATTTACCATTTTTAATTTTGAAATTAAACCAAAAAATATTTTATTCAATAATTATGGTACCTATCCTCATTAATAGTTTAAAATACTATTATTTAAGTAATTTTGACCATTTTACTTAATGTTTATGAGGACGCCACACCCGCATATATTGTCTCTGTCTTAAAAGTGTATAACATAGGTACCAAATTGTACTCTCAGCAGAATACGTGTAGCTCCGTTAGTTTAAAAATTAGAGTGAATTGACCTATTATCAAATTCAGAAGCAAGAATAATATTATCTAGGGAATCACATAGGCTTTTTATTATATTATAATTTTAAAGCGAGTTATGAGTATTTTAAGATCTACAAACAATTCACAATTTTATAATACTCATAACTCGCTTTAAAATTAAAATATAATAAAAAGCCTATGTGAGTGCCTAAATAATACTTTTACTTCTAAATTTGATAATATGTCAATTCACTCTAATTTTTAAACATAATAGATTACAAGTGGTCTTCTTGTAAGACATGCAGGTGCTGCTTCCTCTTAAGTTATACTTCCTACATTACTACTTTTTTCTATAAATTAAATTAATATTAAGCGTCAGATTCATAAATTCGGTTTATTTGTCTGGATATGTAACAAAACTAAATGCCAAGCAATGGCTTCAATACTAACTACAATAAATTACGTTTCATATTTTTCTTGTCAAAGATCCTTCTTAAGTGTATCAATGTAAATTGTACAATAATTAACAATGAATTCAATAAAAATGATATGTTTTGACTTTATTTTTAAATTATTAGTAATTGATATTTTTTTAAATATAGTTTATTGGCAAAGTTCAGTGTCCCTCCCCCCAAAAAACATATTTATGATTCATAGATTTTCTTTGCAGAGGAAACATATCAAGTAGCGTACTACATTAAAAAATGCCTTGATTTTTAATTTATAATTTTAATTACCAGGATAAAATTGATAATGCTGATTCATTTGAAGTATGTTTGACACGATTTACTAAATGGTTAGAAGAACATGAACTTGGAATTAAACACAAATTTTCTATTGTCACTGATGGCCCATTTGATATGGCTCGGTTTCTTTATGGACAATGTATAGTAAGTTTTAAAATAGTTTTGATTAAAATATAATATGTTAAGAATTGTAAAGTATTTTACTATTTATAAACTATTTTGTTCGGCTAATATTAAGACCATACAACTTTTAGATGTCGGAAATTCCATATCCAAAATTTGCTACTAAATGGATTAATATAAGAAAAGTATTTAAAGCTTTTTATTTTACAAAACAAGTCAAGGTAATTTTTTATATTACATATTTATACACTAATAAAGTATTATTCGGGGTATTATTATAAATAATAATATCCTACCTATGAGGGGTATACACAAAATAAGTTCCATTTATTTTTAAAAAATTGAGTTTGTATTAAAAAAATAATAAAATTCACAGAGGTTTCTCCACTTGTTTTTTTATAAAATCACAGTATACCTCAGTATCTTAATATACTTTAGGTACCTAGTAATAAGCTTTGAAATCTCATTTTTGTAGAAACTTCTTACAACCTTTGGTCGGTTGTTTTCTGCCCCAATATAACAGCTTAGTAATGTTGGGGGTGAAATCCTTTTAATTCCAACATTGTCAAATGGTTATCCATATGGACTTCATGAGATTTTTAAAGTGAGGGGAGTGAATCAGGTTATCTTATCCAAACTAATTCAATAGTTCAATCCCGATATGGTGATGCGAGACCAAGTGTGAGATGTATGTATACATGTGGTCAACAACTGATTCTCATGTTTCCTCAATGTTTCACAGTAAGTTATCATGTTATCTGTACGTTAATTATTTCCCCTTTTAAGTAAAAAATCTATTAGGACTTTGTCTCATAAAACAGACCTTGATTTTTCTGGTCGACTTCACTACTTGTGATATTTTTGCAGCTGGAGTTGTGGTGTGTCACTATTGCATTCCATCGATTATTGTTTGATTTCTGGACGGTAAACCTAGGCATTGCCCCTTATCACTACTGATTAGAGAAAATTAACAACATAAATTCTGGAATATTCCAAAATATTTGGGCTGCACTCAGTTGTTGGACTTTGTGATATGGATTCTTCTGACATTAGTTTACAAGCTACTAACTGCCGGCATGACTCATTCTCTTCAAAGGAGCGTCTTCTTTGACTTTATATTGTCACCTTTGGAAAGAAAATCCCTTTGCCATACAGAAGCAAACAGTTTATTTTGTGTATATTCCTTGTATAAATATTTATTCTTCTATAATATTAATGCAAAATAAACCTTTTATTACTTGTAGCATTCAGTTCCTTGCAATCTGAATGCAATGTTAACCTTTTTGGATATGCAATTTGAAGGCAACCCTCATAGTGGCCTAGATGATTCATTTAATATATCCAGGATATGTTTACGATTACTCGAAGATGGAGCTTTTATAGATCAAAATGAACGAATTATTTCGCTTAAAACCCCAACACCTTATGGAAAAGATGTAATTATAATTTTTTTATATCTGTATAATAATTTATGAAATATATTATAATGAATGTTGAATATTTCCATAGGATCCATTGCCAGTAAGACCTGTGCACAATATATTTTGTGATGGAATGCATAGTCATAACCATAGGTGGTTTGTTACACGATTGAAGAGTTTAGATTTAAATAATGGTGTTTAACATTAGTTAAATTTATTAAAAACTGTTTCAACATTCAACTATTATGTTCCTTCCATTGTAAAATATGATTCTTTGTTAACAAAATTTTAAATTATCTTTTAATTTAAAAATGTTAGTTGTCATTAATATGACTTCAAGTCAATTTAATTGTGATCATTATAATAATTATAATTTTAATACATAATAAAATATTGTCTTTTTAGTTATTATATTGTATTGTTAATGTGTTTTTTTTTTGTATATTCATCCTATGGATATTCAAAAATAATAAAGATCAATTGATAAATAAAACAAGCAAAACTATAGGTAAAGAAAATTGCTAAAAATCAAAAACCCGTTTTTATTTATTATTTACCATAAGATTTTTTTTTTTTAATAATAGATTAATTAATATGTCAATTTTATTTTGATGATAATACGACATATTAATATCACAGAATAAACATATTCTGTGTTAATATTATTCATAATTGATAATAGGAAATCAATACAACCCAGTGAACTAAAGAACCATTTGACCAAAGTACTGTTGACGCTGTCATACACTGACTAGTGCAAGGCAACCAAACTCGAGAGTCCTCGTATTGTCATACACTATAATTATCATCGATCAAAAACATGAAAGGAAGATTATAGATGAAAAATATCAATCCGGATTTTACATTTAATAGTGTTAACCACAGTAGATAGTGGTTTAGGCCTTATTGTGGTTAGTCTAAAAATACTTTTTTCTTAGGTATGAATTTTCGACTGCAAGTAACTCTTTTCCGACTTTTTCAGTGGGCTTTTATCCAGAAATTTTTGGTTTCGTACAATAGTCATAGCACAGTCAGTCATTTGTATAGGGCTACCACAGCAATCAAGCAACTTTTAGGCAGCAATTGTTTCTAAAAATTTTATTTTGAGCAATATTATAGACACACTGTTCTATCCACTATTGTAGAATTGTGTACTGTGTAATGTTAAGCAATGTCTATTATTCCAGTTGTTAGTAGTTTTTAATAGTAAAAATATGAGTCGAAATGAAAATGTGGAGTTATTCTATAAATTCTTATAAATTCGATAGGCTAAAACCGGTGTGAAAAATAACGAACCGGGATGCCTGGACCTCAGTGGTCACCCTGAGGTCACCTCACTTACATGGTTCATTATCCCGCACCGGGATAATGTGGGATAATTAAGATAATTTTAAACCGGTCTAGTTTGGCAAATTAGTACGAACTACGAGTTACAAAATGTTACAACCGTTTTTTAAATTTTTTTTACGTTGGCACACCTAACAAAACGATTGGGTTGGCTTCCTTGTTCTATGCCGGCATCGTGGCGTTCTGTGATACGCGTTATCAGCGTATTTGTTGTACTTGTCAATCGTCACAACTCAGTACCTTAGTACTTACGATTCACAATTTCAAGTCGTCAAGACAAGTATAATATTATAATTTATGATACAAACACACGAATGCATCTCAAATGATGTTTTGTTATATTAGTTAATAATTTTTGGTTTTTTTATCGATTGCTATTTGTGCAACAGTCATTCTCTACTCCTATTTTATTTGTTGAGTAATTTTATTTTACAATGTTAATTAAATATTACGTGTGTTCAATATTAACGTTGAGCCTTGCTGCTTTCGCCAGTGCGTCCAAAGAGACGCTGGTACTACTCAACAATTTAGTCATCAAAGAGACGCATTCCATTTTATTTAACACTCTCAAAGGTAAATTTTTAACTTTCCATATTTTACAGTTGCTAGTAGGCTATTGCTATTCATTTAGTAATGTGAGAATTATTTTGGTCTTCCATCAGAAAGTTCATGAAATTTTATATGTTTTCTCGCAGTACTTATTTGTGTTTTTATTAAACTATTCATATGGTTGGGATTGATGCAGAATTTGCTTTTTTTTAAATAAATTTGCTTAAAAAATAGCAAAGTAAACCTATACTTAGTTTATTCCTATAAATTATTTGATTCTTTTTTTATTATCAAATATAAATTACACCTTGTTGGTATAAAATATGTGGTAAAATGGTAAATACATCCATCTAAAAGTAGATTAATTAAATAGGAAACCTATTCCTCGGTTACGGGTTCTTCGACATATTATTCTACTATAAGTTTAAACATTATCTTATTTGCTGGCAGACAATTGCACAATTCAATTACGAACATTTGGATAAGCATTTCACAATAATAATTCATGTAATGTTTAAGTCGAGGTTTAAATTCAAATGCTTAATTTTTAGAGATTAATAATTAGGTTTTTTATAGTCTTTCAGGATGTAATAATACATAACAAGTAATTATTTATAATAAATAATAGTTATTGCATATTTTGTTGTTTTATTATATATTTATATAATTTTTAGTGCTATAAGATCTTAATCACTTATATGTATTAACATTATTATTTGCATTTTGATTTAATCATTAGAAAGAGGATATCATCTGACTTTCAAATCAGCTGACGACCCTACATTGGTGCTTTCTAAGTATGGAAAATACTTTTATGAAAATTTAATTATTTTTGCACCAACTGTTCAAGAATTTGGTGGATCTCTCAACATCGAAACTATTACTCAATTCATTGATGACGGAGGTAAAACCCATTAATTATTGAGTAATTACTTATTTTACTCATATAACAAGAATCTTTATTATTTATAGGCAATGTTTTGTTTACTGGTGGTGTGTCTACTGGTTCTGCTTTGAGAGAGTTGGCTGCCGAATGTGGTTTTGAAGTTACCGAAGAAAATTCTTCCTTAATTGACCATTTGAATTATGATGCTAGTGACTCAGGAAAAGTAATAACAATTAGTATAATATAAAAGTTTAGATATTGAAATTAATCTGAATGTCAGTTGAACCATATATCTTTGATGCCGGTTTTAATATATTTTGAAATGTACGTGCCTGTCCAGTATACAACTGAATTGGAAATATTTATTTTAAGGGGATTAGATACCATGATTTTTTGTTTTTGTCAAATATGCACGCAATTTAGGATACTAGACTGGTTCTTTGCCAAATATACCAATAATAAAGTAATATGAATTCTAAAAATAGATTTGAATTTGTCGTCAAATCTACTTAAAATCAACTTTCCCAAAGTTTTTATTTTAACTTCTCAAAAAATTAAAAGACGACAATTTTTTAAATACTCTTTTTTAATATATAATTTTTAAGAATTTGGGGGATAATATTAAACATGCGGGAATGTCAATTTTAAGTAGACTTGACGACAAATTCAAACTGTTTTCAGAATTCTTATCGCTTCAATAGATCAATTGTAATGTTTGGAAATAAACACGTCCAAAATACTTAGACAATAACAGAAAATCTTGGTATCAAATCCCCTTAAAACCTGATTATTTGATGACAATTGTTGGGTAGTAACATAACACAAATTACAAATTACTTTTGCATTAGTGCTGTAATTTTATTATAATATATTCAAATTAACTCAATTGTAACAAATGTACTTTTTAAAAGTAATTTCTATTTAGTAATGTGTTATTTTCCACTTTATTAAAATAAGTTATGAATGTAGAATGCATAACAAAACAATTTTATTTGCGGACTGGCACTACTTTGAACTGGCTGGAGAAGATTTAAGGAATTCAAAAGAATGCTAAATATATTTTTCTAATATTTTCAAAAAATAGCCAAAAATCTTCATGCCTCAGGGTTGATTTAATTCATATTAAGTATAAGTGAATCGTTCACAGAAAATCTATTATTGTAAATTAGCAATTTTGCATAAGTACTATTATGAAATGATAATATAATATTTTTTTATTGAAAGTAGGCAGGATGAAAAGCCTTATCATTGCTGGGGCCTCGGTGGATTTTGCTTGCTCTCTACCCAGGCCAGTTCACCTCTGAAAACTAGGGGCTAGGTTATTCAAGAAAAATTACAAATTAAAATTATTTATTTACGATTTCAAAAGTTTATAATATATAATAATCAACAGTATTATTAAATATCCCATGAATTAATTCTTATACATTTTGTTCATGTAGAACATTATTAACAATGAATAATTAAGTCGTTAACAATGAACCTACTAGTTATTATTCATTATGGACTGATTTTTTAATTATTTTTAAAAAAGTAATTTTATTTGTAACACCCTATTTTTGGAATGAAAAAGTAAAGGCATGTGTTAAAAATGTTTAACAAGAATGTAATTTAAATAAAAATATTTAATGTAATGATAAAAGTAATTTCATTACTTTCAAAGTAATGAAATTTCTTTTCAATTATGTATCTATTATATGTATATAACAGGAATCATTTTTCGTGTCCCCGATTTTAAAAATCCCAAACCTTGATAATAATTTACATATTTTTATTTTTTCTTAAAAGTTTCAATAAATGATTAACAAAAAAAATAAATATTTATTTTATATAGCATACTTTGGTAGTAACCAGTTCGTCAAATCTAATTAAATCTGAAGAAATTGTTGGAAAAAGTAATGAAAAACCACTGTTATATGAAGGAACTACAGTAATTACGGACCCAAAAAATCCATTAGTACTTCCTATTCTTCATGCTGAATCTACCGCATATTCTTACAAGCCAGACCTTCCTGTTAAAGATGTAAGTTTGATTAAATTAAAATACGAGTTATCAACTATCTTAAACCATTCAAAAATACCTGTTTTTTCCAGTATTCATTGGGAACAGGCAAAGATCTATTACTAATTGCAGCTTTACAAGCAAGAAATAATGCCAGGGTTGTATTTTCTGGTTCCTTGTATTTCTTTTCTGATGTTGCCTTTAGGACTTCTGTACAAAAAGTTGTAAGTTTTTGTTTTTGAAATTATTTGATTTAGCTGTTTTGATACAGATTTTAACATTATATTAAACTATAATACTATACTAGGATGGAAAAACATATGATATTTCCGGAAACCAAGAAGTTGCTTCAAACATTGTTTTGTGGACATTAAAAGATAGAGGCATGATAAGAGTAAAGTCTGTCAACCATCATAAAGTGGGCGAGTCGTCACCTCCACCATCTTACACAATTATGGATATGGCTGTAATATTTTTATATCAATAACAACCTGTATAATAAGTTGCAACAATTCATTTATTAATTTTTTTTTTCATAGATATTTTTGGTGGAGTTGGAACGTTGGGAAAACGGAAAATGGATCCCTCATAACGCTAATGATGTTCAAGTAGAATTTGTACGCATAGATCCGTTCTGGCGTGGTAATCTTAATAATTTAAAAAATGGCAAGTACGAGTTTACATTTAAAATACCAGATACATATGGAGTGTATCAATTTAAAGTGGAATACAACCGTATTGGATTTACTGCAATCAGAAGCTCAACCATGGTAAATGATAAATTTATTTGATTAATCATATATAATGAAATTGCATTTATTAAACATTTAAATTAATTTTTTTATTACTTTTAGGTGTCTGTAATTCCACTGGAACATACTCAGTATGAAAGATTTATTTTAAGTGCATATCCATATTACTCAAGTGCTTTTTCAATGATGTTTGGTGTGTTTATATTCAGTTTTGTCTTCTTGCATTATCGAGAAGATAAAGCAAAGGGAGAGTAATTCAGACTGTTTAATATTATATTATTTAACATTACTCTTGATGGTGATAACTGATGATTATATTACAAGTCCAAATTTAAATAATGTATTAATGAATAAATATGTAAATGTATCTACTTCAATTGAAAACAAAACTCTGCACTTTAGCACTTTCTGATTTAATTTTGTGATTTTTTTTTATTAAACATCTTACTTATACCAGTTATATCATTTGTTATTTTTTATGATAATCCTATAAGAGAATTTACTCTTCAACATTTTAATATTTATTAAAATTTAGTTAACAATATTGTTGTGCATACTGACTCAGATAAAATTGGCACATACAAGATACAAAATATGTAAATACTTCAAATTAGGTACTAAACTAATCATTAATGCCGGCGCCTAATTATGTGAACTCTCTTTGAGTCCCCTAGCAGTTCTTCATTTCTTTCAAACGAACTCTTTCTCATACTTTTGAACTGGGAAATGTTGCATTGAGACATCTTTCGTGGACGATCTAAACATATTAAGAAAAATAACCTCAGTACTGAGTATTGTATTTTTTAAAAAAATATTTACTTGTGTGTTTTTGTGTGGATTCAGCCAATGACTCCCTTCGAGCATGCTTAGCCAAAGTTAAATCTGGCAGTGTTAGTCGTCTGGAATGGGCCTTTTCTTTTTGAATGAACGATTTTTTCCAGTCGTGGAGCTGAAAATTAATTTCTCATTCAGAACAAGATCAAAAGCAACTTTTATTTGTGTCGGTTTACTCTGTGTCTCATATTGTATTGGATCCGCCACAAGACGATGAATGGTAGAACCGAAGACACAGCAATTATCCACCAGTTGTTGGCAATTCTGGAACCCATGGATCTCCAGTCGACACCGAATAAATTATATCTGTTGCCGGTATAATTATTGCACTGCGACACGGCCGGCTGTGGGTCGTTGTCGTTGGGCTTCCACGAACTGGAACTGACGCAGTCGCATGGTTCATTGCCAAACAGTCTGTTCACTTTCGCCGTCAGTGCTTGGATATGCTTCTGGAAACACGAGCCGCTCGCTACCAGCACGCACAGGCACACGACGAAGGATTTCCCGACGTCGGTGGTTTTCATCTCGCCGCGTCCGACGATCCCGACAGGTTAGAAATGAACACGATTTAACGCGTTTCGACGACGGTCATCGATGCTCGCAAAAAAGTCAATCGATAACACTACCAATACATTTATTATTAATCGTATTTTGTTTTTTGCGCACCGCCACAGTAGGTTTCTACCGCGCGTTCTGATGCAAGTACGTACTTTCTCTGCGGTGGCTCTAAAAGTGCATATTATATTATATTGATTTTCGAACTCTGGCGTGTATAATGTTACAACCCCTCTAGCCACTATCGTCACACAGTTTAGGAAACGTGAACCGTCGTCGTCTTTGTACCTACGAACGTTTACGTTTTTTATTTTTAAAATTTTTTCCCAACACGTACGCTATATTATATTTGAACAGGTGGTGGTGGTCTTGTAGTAAACATCGTTACAGAATTTTTTTTTTCTAAACGGTCGCACTTCACCGCAGGTCGTTCTGTCCCGCATATATTACACGACCGTCGAACAGTATAATATTTGTACAAACTACAAACATTATAGATAGGTCATAGGTAAGACTACAGACTATGGGCACTGGGCTCATAGAATTTAAAATCTAAAAATACGTATTTGAGTCTAATGTGCAATATCATAATATTAAATATACACGCTACACGTCATGTTTCTGTCATATCAATAACTTTTATTATTTATATTAATAAAATATTAGTTTTTTTTCACAACTATTATACTGTATTAAAGATAGGTAGATTTGTTAAATATTTTAGCACCTATATTATGGTTTTAAGTTGGTTTTTAGGTATATTTACTTCCGTTAACGTAAAAAAAAATTAAAAATAAACACGTGGGTACCTATTTGTTCCCGAGCAATTATTGAGAGACCGTAATAATTGATAGCCAATTCACAAAATCTAAAATATATCTAAATATTATTAGTTCTGAGATGTCTACAAATGTATATAATGTTACATTATAATAATTTATAATTTAAGAGTGCCTGTAGACACGATGAAACATTGTTTATAAAACTATAAAACCCAGACAATTTTGATAGAAATAATTATTTGATTGAGAAAACAAATTATAGGTTGGCAGAGATGAAAATATTATCTTCGATTATATTATTATTTAATACCTATGTTATGTAGGTAAGTAGGTATTATTATTTATAAAAGGATCGGTTCTAACCTTCTATCGTTTATTTCCTCATAACCAAGGTGATACACCTTGCTCATAACTGTGTTCTTCGTTGATTTCGGATTACTTCTAATGCGTTTTCAAGTCAATGTGATTGTCATCCCGCTCTATTTAGATCGACTAAATAATATTATAAATAAATTATAACATAAACTAATGTATGGGTATTATATTTAAATTATCATTGAAATGAAACCCAATTAAAATAAAAGATTATCACAAATTGATTGCAGTGGGTTATAGGTAGACCGCGTTTGAATACCCGATAATTGTGATTTTTATCACTTTAAAATAACTTAGTAACTTTTAAGTGATGAAAGTTTCGTACAATTAAAATCAATACTTTTCTTAACGTTATTAATTATTATTATTGTTCTCCAAAAAGTAATTTAATAAATACCTACCAATCTTAAAAACAATTTCCGAGATCTAAAAAACAAAATTAAAAACAAACAACTTCTAATTATATATTTTAATATTTAGTCCTAAGATTTGAATTAAACGATAGGAAATAAGTTTACCTACTATTAATTTAGCAAGAACATGATATTGTGTACGACTGTACGAGGATTTAATTTAAACCAAAATTTGACGTCACTAAATTCCAAATCATAGAATGAAATAACTAGGGCAGTAAAGTTGTTGCATTTGCATATTTTTTGTAAACGCTTATATTTATTGCTGAGATGAGCTTAAAATATGTTTCTTTAAACTCTTAATTTAAACAAAAAAAAAATTATAATGCAATAAATGCAATTTTGGTATTTTTATAAATTTTCCTGCAATTTTAACTATTTTTCAGAATTGTTGTTTACATTTAAGATTATATAACTTGATATATAAAATAAGAGTAAGTAAACGTACCAATGAACAAATTTCTATATTTGTTGTAACACTTATTATTTTATTAATATTTCTATAGAGCGATTATCGTATTAGGGTTGCTAAGAAAACTTACAAAAATCATTTGTTGTGCCAAGCAATAATGTAAGCAATATTCATATTTAATTATTATTTATTAATATGTTTGATTTTATTGACTATAATTACATTTTTTCGATGCAATTTTTAAATTTATAAGTGCAATTTTTAATATATTTTTCTGCAATAATGCAATCAATTTAGTGAGTTTTTTAATGCAATAAGTTCACTGCCTTAGAAATAACATATACTCGTACAATCAGAAATGTACAGAGGTAGCCAACTTATTATGCTACCTAGGGTTTTAAAATTTCATGAAAATATCATGAAATATTTCATTTCCATGAAAAATTAAAATAAAATGTTTATTATATCTAAAAATGTATAGTCGTCAAATTCCAAGTGAACATTTTTAAAAGTTGGTTTGTTGTATGAAACTATAGAAAATATGTAACATATTTACATATAATTGTTTAAGTTGTTTAACAAATCTATAAATTATAATACAACAAATTTTAACATTGCCTTTTAACTCTTAAGTTACAAACTAATAAACCAACTGAACATCATAACACATTGTTGAGAGCCATATGGCTCTGCGAATACATATTATAATTATAATATTATATTATATTCACAATGTTTAGACATAAACCACTCTTTTAATAGTCGTGAATCGTGACATTTTACAATATACAAAATATGATCTAAGTATTAAATAAAAGAGTCCAGACAGTCCAGTCAGTCCAGAGCACCTTTACAATATAATCACATCACTCAATAACATACACACATATACAACTTTTGTACACTTAATAATTACTGAAAATACACTATTATTTCATTCACTTTTTGAAATATTGACTTCAACTTTATTTCAAACCATTACCATGCAACAATATTTTAAAACTCATATAAAAAATATTTTTACTCTCAAAATAATGCTAGGAATATTTTTCCACACTACATATAAAATATACAAATACCTATGAAATATTAAATCAACAAAAATAATATGTTTCTCTTTATTTCTAAATGTGTAATAAATATATTATTTCTAATCATCTATAACCAAACACGTTTAAAAAAAGAAAAAATATTTTTCATATTTTCATTGAAATATTTCAAAAAGAGTGAAATTTTCAATTTTTAAATCTACCATAAGATAAATTGTATAATACTATAATACCTATATTAGAACTTATAACTTTATAAGGTATCAATTAGTTAGTTATAATAGACTATTACAATTTGCAGTACCTTTCTAGGTCTTCTTTTTAAAAATATATTGGACACGTTGGTTTCGAAAAATTTCAATTTTCATTATGTGTTGTAAATTGGAACAAAAGTAGTATTAGTTTGAAAATTTAAAATCCTTTATGACTGAATAGGACCCCTAAATATGATAATGTGGCCCTTTTAGGGGTGCGGTGTACCCCCAGCACCCTGCTAATTGCGGCACTGTAAAGCAGCCGATGGATTAGCACAAATGAGTACGGTTTTTAAATGGTACAACTCTGGCTCTTGTTAATATAGGTAATAGGTACGTAAGTGGCTACTCGATTTTTTTTTAACTTAGCTTCACGCTACTACTATCGAGCTGGATAAAAATTATTATATCTTAAGTAATTCATATATCAATAAACATATAACTACGATGTACATCTAACCTTATAGTTTTTTCTGATAGTAGAGAAGCGTACAGTATCGTATAGTGTCTTGATATTATTATAATATATCGATAATAATCATTTATTGGCCAGCATATTCCAGGTCCTATAAATTTAAATAAATCTTAGAAAATAACAAAAGGATATACAATTATAAAACTATTAAAACTTACTCTGAGATTATGTTAAGAAAACAATAAATGTTAATTTAGATAATAATAAGGCAAATTTTTTAAAATTATTTTAAATATATGCACCGAATAAATATAACAATTGTAGACGTGGAAGTACTTTTTTATTATATAAAGATATTTTAAGTGAAAAATTTTCAAGAACATAATTTAGATAAGTGTATGTATATCTACCAAATTATAAAATTTAATTCAGAAAAATAATTTATTATAATTTTTAAATACTTTTTAATGTTTTATAACTCTGTAATTTGTTAATGTCGATCATGTTATTTAAGTAAGTAATTAACAATATTATATATTTTATAATTTTAAGATGTAACTTTATGTATTTTTCATTACAATTTTAACATATTTTAAGTGCAATGTTGACATATTTTTAACGCAGTTAATCCCAGTCTTTAGTTATTATTTATTAATAACGATAATGATTAAAATTTATAAGTTATGAGTAAATCGTAAGTATTGTTGACTATTTAAACTTATAAAATAAAATTTAAATTATAAATAAATGTAACGTAATATACTATATAGAAGTGTGAAATATAATAGTGGTGAAAAATACGAATAGTACAATTATAACAATAAAATAAAATAATTTAGTGCCCAAGTGAAAAATGTACATCCAAATATCCGAATCCGGATATCCGAATAATTCGCAGCAATAATCAGAGGCACACATCTCGTGAATTATAATATTATTTCACACGTTATGTGCAATTCCAGCTTATAAATCGTCGGAACATTAACGGGGTCATCCAAATACGATTCACTCTACAAATCACTATTAAACAAAAGTGACATTTTGAATAATTACCTACACGATGCATTTATTTGATAGATAATACGTATATTATGTTATACTTCAAAAAATATGTGTAATACTGCAATTAAAATACAAAATATTCGTTGGTAGTTGTTACATAAATATCATATGGTAATATTGTTGACTGTACATTTTATTGTTTCCACCGTACATATTATAACAAATTCTGACTTTTGTGTAATTGAGTATATTATCCACGATTAATGA